TTTGTTTAAATTCAGTTATATTTGGCGCAGATATAATGCAAAGTGAATAACATTGATTACGTTTGAAATGGAACAATTAAAGTACCTTAGTAGTCAAACGATCAACGAGAAGTCCAGGAATCTTTTATATATGTTTGGTATGAAGTATTTAAAAGGACTGAGAGAAAAATATTAATGGTTAATTGATATAATAACATAATATAATACATTGTTTATTATCACTTCTGAATAAAATTGGGGAAAGGAATTCGAAGTAGTCAGTAAAATGCTGCTGAAAAATGTTTTGAAAAAATGATTGAAAAACGTAACCCACAGTTATTTGTAGTTACCAATAACCCGGGATTTCCGTTGGCAGTGATATAGTTCGTAAGTATAGTAACGACGTAATACTGCAGGTAAATAAGAACGAAAAACCAATTTAATTTGCGTCAAGCACTTTGTCTGCAACAGAAAACAAATTATTCACAGACAAACCGAAAAGCATAAGCGATAATTTTTAGTCGGCGCTGAAGTTGGGAAAATAAGTAACGTGCGTTGATTTATTATTCAAAAAACGGACAGATATTCCGAGGTGGTACATTATTATAACTAGGTACTATATAATATTAGATTATAACAATACGCAAAACCGACAATACAATGTAACAAAATTAATACTATACAAGATAAAAATGCACGTAATGTTTTCGATATTTGTATGGATAAATTATGTTTCGACTATCAGCCAGGTCTCCATCCAGTAACCATGCATTGTAATCATCGTGTACCAAATTAATGTATTAGATTTACAAATGGATCAGTATTATTATGTTATATACTTGATAATATCGCACAATACCCACCTATAAATCTCGGGCATCCTTTATAACAATGTAACCACGTTAGTATCTTACATTACCGCCGCACGTAATTAAAAGAACACATTGTACTTATTATATTATTACATAATTTATTACATATTATGTATTTTATTATATAATGAAGGAATGCGCGCAGTGTAGACCATCCGCACGTATTCGTGAAGAAGAAAAAAAACCCCACATGGCTTTCATTGAATACTATTTTTACTCAACTTTTATGATAGCAGAAGAGCATTCAATTAAACATTTAAGTGTAAAGTTTTAAAAGTATGAAAAGACTCGGTCAAAACTCGAAAGAATGTAAAACCCGTCAAAAAGCGAGAAATCCGTCACTAATTAAAAAGACAAGAAAACCTTTTCACATAATATAGTATAACAGCACCACTGCGACGACTTGAAGTGTTGAACATAATTTTGATTCAGTCATTAAGGATATAATTTAAGTTACAATTTACTTAATGGCATATTCATACACACTTGTATGGTGATATTTATATTTATATAATATGTAACCCTGTGAGTGTGACAACATTTGTTTCATATAAATAAATATCATAGTGTGAATAACTACGTTCTGTGATGATGTGTGGCAATATAATAACTAAATTAAAAACCGTTAGCTAATGTAACTACCTGTGCATTGTTTGAAGAAAGAATGATATATTATTTCATTTTCCCAGGAATGTGGAGGTATTCGTGATTGAAGAATTACTTGAGGAAAAGGAAGCTTGTAAAAAAACGAAACAACCACTTTTGATATTTGTGCGAAAAAATGTCGAACTAGTGATGTACGCCCCAAGAGTTAGGTCATAGTACGTACATCCGCGAATCAGACCGAGAACAATGTTTTCAACCAGCATGTAGTTGTAATTGTAAACTTGGCGTGAAAATGAAAAACAATAGTCTTGTTGTCTTGATTATGATGAAAATAGTAAAAGCAGTAACAGTGATTGCTTGTAGCAATTTGGTAACACTTTAAAAAAAAATTTATCTAAGTTATTGTAAAAAGTTTAAGTTTAAGTTTTGTAAACACAATTAAGGAAAAAATATGTTTTTTTATTTTTATAATAACAATAATAATAGCTGAGAAAATATTGAAATTCTTGAAATTTCAAACAAATTAATTATTTTACAGTCGTGTTTTTAAAAAAAAAAATCTTTTCAAAAATGTATTATTTATCTTTTTGTTATTTTAATTAAAAAACTATGTGAATTTAAGACAAAGTAAATCGTTGTTTTATTTAATTTAATCTTATAGTTTTCGGAAACGTTATTTAAACACATTTGTATGAACGTTTAAAGTTTATGACCTATAAAAGTTATAAGCTGGACAATATAAACGTTCCATCGGAATCGCTTTTCGAATAAAATGATTTATTATTTCTTTCAAATATAAAATTATGATTTTATAGTTTATACCCAAAACTGAGTGAAGTGAGAAGAGTACACAACATTCAGTATCTCTATCCTTTCCGTATTTTTTTTTTTTTTTTAATTTGTTTCATATCGTTACCCATATAAGTATAATCGTTATTATATTCACGAGATAAGTTAAATTAATCATTTCAATAACACAAAGTTATTTATTATTTAAACCCTTTTTATTATCCTAAATTAATTTTTTATTCAAATCAATCGAATAATTATGAATAATTGTAGAAACCCACAAATAGTTCTTTGGTATACAAACATTTTGAAAAAAAAAAAACAATATAAAAGTAGTTGATAAGCTTACTGAAAATTAATTATAATTTTAAGTTTAAATCTCTCTTTAGTTGATAAAAGTACTTCAAAATAATTAAGTGGGACATAATTGAAAAATCACAATATAATGTATAATAAAATCTACAAATCAATGAAAAACTTATTGTCGTTAAAATTAGTGAATTTTTCAAATAATATGGAAACTTTGAATAACATCAATCAATTCAAAATAAATAAATTATAATTTGAACTATCCGTTCATCTTTTTGAAAAATATTTATTATACATGTATATTTAAGTATAAGTCTTAAAATTTCAATACAAGACTTATAATAACATTTTATTTAGAATTATTAACCAGCAGAATTCAACATTCATACATCATAATAACATATTTATTATACTAATAATCCTGAATACAACTCGAAATTATTTTTTCATAGCCATTTCATTCAACAGTTCTACAATGATAAAATATTATCTACGACTTGAATCATCACCTAACATAATAATACTATATTTTATATAGAATTACATAAAATCGTTAGTAAATTAATTGGTAGATTTAGTTTTAAATATTACAATGGTTTTCATTATTTTAGTTTAAATACATGATTATGTTACATGTAAATAGATTTAATAATTAAAAAAAAGAAGAAAAAATTATGACTGTATAGAATCTTAATAATTATCAACTTTCAAAATTATTATTACATCTCCATATCTTATAACGCAATGAACTTTTAATAATTGCATAGCGTATGTATTGACTTGTAAAAAATTTTTTAGTATGTACGCCTAAACGTCATTGCTAAATGATAAGCATTAACTTAAAATTAATTATACAGGTCTTACAAACGTTTTGTTAATGTCAATTATTTTAAAATATATTTAAATACTCAAAGTTCCAAAACATAAATATATAAATACAAAAAAACCTTTCATAGGCGGGTATCTTTATAAAATTTTTGGATGGGATAGTAAGGTATGTGCTGTGCGTTATTGTTCATAAATGTTCTCCATACCACGATAATACTTTCCCCTACTCTATTTCTTCTTTATTATTCGAAAAAGTTATTTCTATTCTACTCTAACTGTTTATATATCGTTATAACTGTTTAAGGCAGTGCGAATTTTCACTTTTTCTATGCGTACCATGAGACATTTACTTACACATACCATCAACTTCATGCATTTATTTGCTTTTATTTTTCACCAAATGTTCGGTACAACACCGTTTGGGTGGTACAAGAATTAAATTTTCATCGTATTAATATTTTACTAATTTAATGAACTCTTGTTCACTTTTAGTTACCAGTTGATTATCATTGTTTCAACTTTAAACTTAAGTTTATAATGTAAATTTCGTCGAAACACAATGCACCATTCGATTGTTGGTCTACATACTACAATTAATTTGTACTCCTCTCCACTTCCTGTATGTCTATATGCCGCTAACTTTACATACCATGTGCGATTGTTTAATAAAAGCTGCGTAATGTGCACAATAATCTCATCGCAATACTCATGCGAACATTTTCTCCTGCTTTAGCTTGCTTTAATTGTACGCACAAAATAATATAAGGATCTAAATCTATATCATTATAAAGCATTTGCCATAGTAAATGTGCAGCAAAAAGGGTCGTTCCGGACGCTTTGTCACCACTTAAAAATATTACCCGCTCCGCACCGAATTCACGGCATAATAATTATCCATTACTTTAAATGCACGCTGGAACCGGAAAAAATATAATGATGACTGTATTGAATAATAATTGACTGAATACTAATATTATTATTATTATTATTATTATTATTGTTGTTGAGTTAACAACAGTTTGTAAAACGATGCGCAGCGCGACATTCTACGTGGTGTACCTATTCAGTTTAAAAATACATAAACGATATGTAGCAGGTGTACGTACATTTAACTGAACGTGTGCTTTAAACACTGCTTCAACTTAACCAGTGCAACTAAATTCTGTGGCGCCCTTGGCAAATTTTATTTTGGCCCTTATTTCATACAAAAAGAAGACCAATTGTTACTCAACTCAAATTCGCCCCCTCACTTTGATGCGCCTTTGGCAACCACTCGTTTTGCCAACCACTTGTTACGGCATTGTATTGCACCTCCATTTTCCAAGGAAATAGTCCAAAATATTTGCGTAGACCCGTTTTGTTCGATAATCTGGTGCTCAGTACTTACTACTCAAAAAATATACGGCCCTGCATATTATAGACCAATGGCGTCATCGAGGTGGTGGGAGCAACCCTTGTATTTGCCAAAGTCTAAAGTTTAGCTATTCCAAATAATTCGGTACATCTTCAGTGAATAAATATGTCTTATAAAACCATTAGCATGTTATAAATCAGGAAAATTCATCACAGTACTCCCCCATGACATGATTACCGATAACAGGTGGCATTTGTTCGCAGTCGAGTTTCGGAGCAAAGTGGCGTGCGAGGACGAAGTGGTCAACCTGCAGTGCAACCCAAACTCCCGGCTGGCCGTATTCTCGGCTAGCTACGGCCGCACCGAGTACGAGAGCATACAGTGTCCGCAGCCACAGGGCGTGCCCGAAGAAAGTGAGTGGATATTACGGCGCTACAGGGGTGACACACGGCGCTTCTTTCCTTTCGTCACGGCCCCGTCAACGTCCCACGTCGCGCCCATACCCCGTCACTACACCGTTTTAATTCAAAATTTATTGTGTGTAATTATTTTCAAGCATGCCTGGTGAGTTACGCGACGGAGACCGTAATGACCGTGTGCCATGGCAAAAGAAATTGTAGGCTGGTAGCGGACGCGGCAACATTCGGCAACCCTTGTAAGCCCGCTTCCAGGATGTACTTGAAAGTCGTCTACAACTGCGGTAAGTCCTAAATAATTAGTCGTTTGATAATGAGCCTTTGTTTACACTAACAATGACAATATCTTAACCCAAATACGTGTACACACAGTGTGTATGTATACTATAAATACTTGTACATATTCTGTTCCGATACAAGTTGACAAAATTCGAATTATTTCCCACTCTGTGTTGATTTCAGACATCGTGTGGTTATTTTTTTCCACGCAGACCAATGCGCTATCATTACGGGATATTTTCAACAAACTGTTTTGTATTTACAACGTTTTTCCGAGGAGTTGAACACAATAATATTGTTTTAAATCATTATCATTGAATTGAAGATCGTTAATCATTTTGTGTTTCGCTTATCAATAACACATTGCTCTTTCGGGTTATTAAATTCACATTTGGTAAATGATTTCACTATTCATTGTATGTATAATTAATACAAGATGAATATCTTCTGAAACTGTGGGATATCATTTTTTCGTTCTTTTGAGTTCGTATAGACAATAAATCTTAGCAAGATATGTTTCATATAAATTATGTTAATCATTTTCTAATGATCAATAAATTTGGTGTATCCAAAATTCGTAAAACACACAAGGGCTTTTTTTCTATAACTTTATACGTATGGTTTACTTGCATGATTTTACCAATATTATATTTTAAACTGTACTTTCATTGTACATAACACACAATTCTTACGATATTAATACGTAAACCACCTATAACCTTTTTATGCAGGAATTTCATATACATATATTATATCCATATATAAATATTGTTAAAAATAGAACCCTATCTTTATTTAAGAAAATAAATCTAAATGGTTCTAACTAATATTAAAAGCAATATTTTATATAAATGTCTTGCAATAAATTATTACGGACCATCAACGATGTCAATTTTAAACTCTTCCATAAAACAGTCCTTTGCTATTTCTTAAATAATATTTTCTCACATTTATGGACCACGAAGAAAAAATAAATTCTCTTTCCTATTATATATAGTGTGTTTAAAAAGTATTGACTTGAGCATCTGGTATATTATTATTTATCTTTTATTATATTAATATTATGTATAATATAATAAAATGAAAAATTTAATTTACTTAGAAAATATAGGTATATTACGATAGAATGTGTATTAGGTACACAAAACGCTAATTGTTTACAGTTAACATTTGAAAAATATTATTTACTGTGAAAATATCTACATTTCTAGTTATTTTAAAAATGTGAGTTACACACTTTCGAAAATACCTTTCAACGTTTAATATTTTTCTAGATTTTCGTCTGTTTCTCATATTTTTTCAATCCTAAATCCAATAGATACAAAAGCCTTTTGAATAAAAGCAATACGTTTTTATGTTGTTCCTGTGTAGACTACGCATACTATGTAGGGATACTACGCGTACTACACGTATAATCCATATCCATCACATAGAACTACTTTCAAAATTATATTTTATATTTACTTAACGTTTTTATATGTTATATTAAATCAGTGTTTCTCTACCTTTATGCTAAATGTTCTTTGTGTTGGGTAGACGACCCTTCAAAAAAAAAAAAAAACCTAATATGCTTTAATGTAATAACATTACTAATCATTTAACTATAAGAAATTGTATTATATAATTTAACGCAAAACTGCAAAAATTAATACTGGTTTACATATATATATATATATAACTAAAATACTTTTCTTGTTATAAGTTTACGAACAAAGACCAATCAAAAATATTTTATGATTCAATGTTGGGACACGGATCCATAAGTTTGGAAATGCTGTATTAAATAATATCTATTGATTTATACTATTGAAAATAATTTTTATTATAATTTTTTATACAGTTTTTATATATGATCAGAAAAATTGAAAAGTTTTTCAACTAGTTTATACATTTTTATTTATACTTTCATTTATTTACGTCCTATGTATAAAATGTGTATAAAATCAAAACAAAATAAATCAATATGTTTAAAAAAAAAATGTCATTTTTTTTCAAACAATTCTAAAAACAATCTTTATGACTGCTGAAAAATCAAAATGTTCTTACTAAATGTTGACGTTTATAAACCATCAAATCATTGAAGTCCATCAATCAACTTTCGATACTCGGTACAACTTAAGAGTGAATAAATTATCTTCGATAAAACCTATATAAAATTGGGGAAAAGTTATTAGTTAATGTCAGAACATTAATTTGCACCATAAATGAACTTTCCAATATACACACAGATATATACACTTATATATATACATAATTATGCCCTAAAACGCAAGTAAGTACTGTTAAAGGCACTGATCGAACTTAAAATGACGCTTTTAACGTTCCTCCGAGTGCACTAGTCTATTTTATTCGAAACGGAATTTTTTACGACAAATGATCCCATTTGAACCATAAATACGAAAAATGTGTTAAGGCCGTGTTAACAATATAATACATTGTAGACAACTAATCTACATTTTCCGGTATTGGTTTTTTGTAGTACCCAGGAGAGTGTTAAAAGAACAATTTGAAGAGCCAGCTCATTCCGACGAACCGACTGTAATGGAGCTGGACTACTTTGACAACCCCGGCGTGGCCCCGGTTCAGCCATTCGAATCCTTATCCCCACCAGCAAACGACCCCAGGACCAGGTATAACGAGTCGGGTACCAATCCCATCGGACAAGGCAATTCATCAAGCTCGTCACTAGGTAAATGTAAAGATTATTTATATGGCATAATATTATTTGATATGAAATCCATAAAACTAATGCAAAAATGTTGATATAGTTCTCGAATAATACGAAATATCTACGCGTCCATAGAGTATCTACTAGAAGTTTACTAATACAAAATAATGTGTTAACGGAATTCGTGCATATTTTTTACCACGGTGTAATTTACTGGGACACACTAAAATATATTTATAAAATACAAATAACTTTGATTAAGTAAAAATAAATGTATTACATTTCTTTTTAAATATATTATAAATCTATTTAAAGGAATTTTTTTACTGATCGTTCTAAAAACAATATTAATTAACTTTAACTTAATTAATTATTTTCGAGAATCTAAAACAATGATTTGATTTGATTAAAAACAGAAGAAAATTTTTTTTAACAATTGAACATTATTAAAAAACTCAACAACTATGAAATTAGGTAATTTCATAGTTGTTGAGTTTTTTTTTTTTTTTTTTAATTTGAGAATTGAATTAACGAATATTAACATACATATAAAAAATAATTTTATTTTTATCATAAAACATTTAAGCCTATGCAAATTAAGCTATTAAGTATACAAAAATACAAGAAAGCTCAGAGGATATTTCGTGGAAAATTGTTCGAACATTGTTAATATTATTTGTAGAATACATTGACAGTGGTTGAAAGATAGTAATTGGGTCTTCTAATTTCGAAGAATATGCAGTACGATCTGCCAAGTATCGTAATAAAATCAACAATTAGTAATACTATTCAAAGCAAATAACTAAGAATTATAAAGGGCTAATAATATTATTAATGAGTCTCAGGATTTGGCTCAGCAAACATTTAATTTACTTTCCACGATATATTATAAATTTATAATAAAATATTCACAATAAACATTTTTAACTAAATTAAAATCCTCTGTGGTCTTGTGTTTTTATTGTTTTCGTCATGAAATCATTTTCGAGTTGGCATTTCTTTTTATTTTTATAATTTTAATATTCTACATTTTTCATCAATACGATAAATGTACTAGATAATAAATATTTTTTATATATTTTTCATTTACAAACACAATTAACTTATACAACTATGTATAGTTATCATCATTGTTGAAAAAACCACTAATTGGATTATTAATTTTTTTCTTTTATACAACTACCTATATTAAATTTATAATAACTATAAATTCTTTTCTTTTTCTATATTTGGATACTAATCGACTCACAAAACATTCTCAAATTGAAATTTAAAAGTACTATCTATATATTAATTTTATCCTACAAATTACCTACTTTATAAAATATAATTACGTTAAAATTGTCTTCCCTCTGCTATAATAAAAATAAGTAAAGTAAAATAATACATTTGAACGTAAAACTTGATCGCACCATAATATAACACTGATCAGTTATGCTTGTTTCACACACCACGATTTTTCGTCCGTGTGGTTAAAATCCGTACGAAATTTTCTCCGAACGGACGTTGTTTTCATACATGACGGTTTTTTCCCTTGAATCATTTGATTATATTTTACTTTTAAACTTCCAACTCTTTTAACATGAATGAAAACGCACCATTGCCATGTGGGTTTTGTATCGTCGTTTTCGATTGCGTAGAAAACGACGTAACAATCGTATTTACTGAGTACACCCAATTAATGAGTACACCATTCTTCCAAAGCATTTTTTTTGTTCCGTTTCTATCTTTGTAAAGATCTTGATCACATAGTGTAGGTCTGCATTTCACAGCAGAGATTAACGTTTCTGTGTCAATATCCCTGCATTTTTATAACAAAAAAAAAACGACAACGAGCTGCTTTGACAACGGACGGCAGACGAATAAAAATCGTCTTTTGTGCAATAATTCATGTAGGTCACTAATGATAAGACTGTATCACGGCGACCGTATAGAAAAAATCCGTTCTGTATGAAAGCTGCAATTACTTTCATGTGCTCACTACCAATTAAAATCCGTACGGACGATACCATCGTGTGTAAAACAGTGGAGGAATTTTGTTAACGTAATTAATTTCAATTGACAACAAACTCTATATTAGTTTCACTCGGAACCGTTTTTACACGTATTATTTTACGACATATTATTTTCAATGCACGAGAACATATCTTCATTATTTGCCATGCATTTCAGGACGTGATGACTGTATTTCAATATACGTATTAATGATTAAAAACTGCATCAACACTAACTCTTCGACGCACTAATACGCTGAATTTTTTGTTGTTTTCACGGAAGGCTTTTTATTACGAATCACTGTTATCATATTTATCTTATAAGATTGGTGTGTTTAACAATTGTATTTCATGCGCTGCCTATGTATATACGTTTTCATATATTATACCTACACACTACACTGCTACGGCTTATAAATGATACGTATTTAGCACACTACTCGTACAATCACCATTGCACTATCGCTGTAAATGGAACACGAAAACCTTCGCTTTTTCGATGACAAAAAAAAATTAAAAATACAGAAAATAATTGACGAATGATTTCCATATTATCTATACATTAGGTACGATATTCCGGAATATGTATCAGCAATCTACGTCGAATCCGATACCAAAAATTACCTCAATCAAGACGACTGATCCGAGTAACGTTTTAGCGAACCTGATTACTTTCAGTTACGTATCTTACAAAATGATGCATAGTAAGTGTTAATATTAATGGATTGAAGAACACGGCATAATGAAATGCGATTTGTTAACAATATGAAACGTAAATCGATTTATTGAAGTTTGACTTGTTAAAAAACGATTTATCTCACGCCTAAGAATGCGTATTAAAAAGTTCCTTATAAATACCACTTCAAATCGCTAAAAGTTTTTGCAAAAATAAAAGATTTCTTGGGGATGATTTAAAGCTACAATTACAAAATATTTAAATAAAATCACTTCTTCTTCTTCTTAAAAACATGTGTATTTCTGTCTATTTTACTAACACGGTAAACGAAAACAAATTCAATAAATATGTATTCATGAAAAATAACTGCATTTTTTAATAGTTATAATTTATATTGTACTGTGTGTATATATTTGTAGCCTACAACATATAGATAGCTGAAATATTTCAATTATAATAAAGTAATCGTTTACGATAATTAAATATCAATTAATTATATATTCTTACAACAGTCTAACATAAATGTGGAAAAATAATTAAATAATTTTAAAAGTAAACAAAATATGATTTACAATTTTTAAATTTTGATACAATAAAAATATATTTACTTATAAATCGGTATTTAATATTTTGTGGTATCTACAATATTAATATCAATGAAATTATAAATACTCAAAAAAAATTTAAATTTGTTTAATATTCATTCGAAAATGAATAACTAAGAAAAATAATTTATAAGAATTAAAATTAATTTTCATACGATTTTATTTCAGGTAATATCATGTATCACAAAAAATATTAATTAAATAAAATAGACCATTATTATCCAAAAATAATCTAATCATTTAATTTATAAGACTGCTGAAATATAAAAGGAGCTATATAGATATTAAATTCTTATATTTCTAGTTAGATCCGAAAAGGCTTAAATATAATATGATTAACTTGTATAAATGAAAAAAAAATTATCTTGTAAACATTGTAAATCCCATACATTCAATGATTAATCCAAACTTAATAATACTATATATACAGAAAAATACTTAATCTATTCACATTATACATAGAAATTTTATAAATATAAGACAATTTCAGATACTTGTTTAGAGCCTTATTTATATATAACAATATATAATACGAATAGTTATGACGTCAAAATTATAAGGGAGGTTGTTCGTAATACCAACAGGACTGTGAGATAAATACACCGTGGAAAACCCTTACGCTGTAAATGCAAACAATATGTGAGGCCCCAGGGCTTAATATATATCGGGTTATTAAATGCATAAACAATGATATTTATATTTTTTTAAAACATCAATTATTATTATTAACTATTGATAAACTTAATTAAAAAAAAAAAATTGTAAAATTATGGTACATTGTAAACATAATAAAATGTATGTAGATTTAGGACCCTTCAAATCCTGAAACCTCTTGGCCTGACCTGGGCTTAAGACGATACTTCGTATACGTGTTCGTTGCTCAATCACTACACTTAGAACTTCGACTATATACATACGGAGAATAAACCAGTTGTTAGACGCGCTCGAACTATTACTTTAGTGTATATTTAGTCTACGATTGGTGCAAAATATAATATATAATAATTTTTAATTTAAAACAACAATCGATACGAAAATCTGCACCGTTATATAACGCGCAATATAACTTTGTCTAAATAATATTTATCAATGTAGCACAAAACATTTCCACATTTCTTGTTCTACTTCATACGGAAAACATAAACTCACATCCTTTATACCATTTGGTTTACAACAATAACAACAATAATTCATTGTACTTTTTTAGAAAAACGGGATAAATTTTACTTATACTTGGGCGGTGGATTGATTGGCGGCCTGTTGTCCATACTTTGTGTTGTGGCAGCAAAATTCGTCTGGCAGCGATCCAGGAGACATTTGGACAACAAACACAAACCCGAAAACACCAACCACGACATGTCAATCGACCCGAACGCATTTGGTGATAACATTAGCGAAGTGGATGCCGACATTGATCTAACGGATATAACACAATTCCCTATCACCATTATACCAACACAACAGTTATCACCAAGTGAAGTAAGACAATATTATATTATGATTATGATAGTTCAAAATTTTTTGTCTAAAACGTAATGCCATGCGTGGACGACTTAAAGAATCCATATTTAATTTATATTTTTTTTTGTACATATGAGAGTAGATTTATAAATTAAAAAAAAAAAAACATGAGAGTGAATTCAGTATTTCGAATATTTACACAAGAAATTGATTTTTAAACATTATAAAACTACGTCATTTTGAACTTAACCCTACCTTATGTAAACTAAAACTTTCAGCAAAAGTAAAGATTTTTAAGTGTGTGTCTTCATCAATAATAAACTATTTAAACTAATCCATGTACAAAAGTGGATCATAGTATTTGATAAAAAAAACTAACAATTATTTTTGGATGGAAAGGCTTAGATATAGAAACTTTGTATACTATTGTCATTGCAGTATACTTTTCAAATATTAAAGGGTGACTTTAAACGAGCACTACTCAAATATTTGAAATGTACACATAATATATGCTTGTATATATATTGTATAAATCCGATTCATCTAAGAAAGTATTTAATTATATTTTATCAAAAAAAATGTTGGTAAATTCTAACTACAGTAGTAACCAATTTTTTAATAGATCTGTACAAATGCGTATTCCTCATACATAGAAAATCTGTGAAATATATTAATCAGTAAATATATACATAAAAAAAATAATTTGCACGTTATCGTAATCATATTTAGTGTATGAATGGTACATAAACTAATGACTTATCCGAACGGAACACTTTTATTAAATCAATTCTTCAATCAACAAAATAATTAAAACTGTCGGAAATGGCATATTCAATCATCTGTACGATGATAATAATATACGCGTACGCATACTACTTTTTCATGGTTTCTCTAAATTATGTTAATAACAATAAGATTATAAAATATTTAATTTGATTTTAAATTCGGAGCACAACAATAATCTATTGGTTTTATAGTGCATGTGTGGTTTTTCATCTCACCTTCGATTAGGAGCAAGCAACAGTTCTATACACAAAAGATGGAAAATTAAATACAGATGTGGTACTCTAGCTAGATCTCTTCTGGAATTTTTTTATAGTTTTCTAGAAATATACGAAAAGCTATCGAAAAACCATACCATTAGAAAATGATATCCTGCGTGAAAACTTTCACAAAAATTATTGTACTATTTATTCGTAGTCCATATGTCTGTAAGTTACAACATTCACCGACCATTTTGATAGTTGTTTTATAAATATTTCAGTATCTTTAAGTATCAAGTAACATTACTTGAATTTATTTGTTTTCGTTTAATACAATTTGAGATCCTAACTTTTATTACCAACCTGAAAAACAAATATACATGATTTATGGTTGTTTTTACTTTATAGGTTAAAATATCGACAAAATTCACAATGAAAAACGTTAAAAGTTTAAATTTATTATATGTAAACAAATAACAAAATCAATTGTAAACCATCCATTATTTTCAAGTTCCTTTGAGATCGATTAAAAATTGAGAATATTAAAACTTATAATTTTGATACAAGATTGTTCGTGTTACGTGTACATTCAATAAATGTTCAAAATTTTTACTCATAAATTAATTTTATGATCACTTAAAAATAATAGCCAAGTATCGCTTCAGTTCATATTTCGAATCCAATGAATCATTCATACTTTTAAATTTCAAAAATATAATAGTTTAATCACTGTAGCTGGAATTGAAGTAAGTAAAGATAGTGTCTAACCTATATAGACATATACATTATGAAAATTTAACATAGATTGATAGGATATATCAAATTTCCATAATTATCAATGAAATATAAGTTAATATTAAACTAATTTAAGTTAATCATTTATAAGTAATTAAATGATACTTACAACATAGTCTAACATGTAAATAAAGTAAAAACAATATTACGCTCCATTAAAAAAAAAAAAAAAAATGGAATTCAAGTAAAAAATTCCATGACATTGAAAATTATTAAAAAAAAAATGTGTACAACAAATTAATTCAATGTTTCAAAACACTACGATTTATAATTTTGGAATAGCAACAAAATAACAACTATCGCTTATTCGAGATTCGTCGAAATATCCAATTTCGTCAACATTTAATTTTCTTACGCTTATAAAGTTTTTGCAATTTATCTATCTCTTTTGTTAAATACTTTCAAACATAAACAATAAAGTTGAATTAAACAAAAAGTTAACTGATACACTAACATAATTTCGTCGTATAAGTTTTCAACAACTCTCATAACACATAGGTGATCTAACTTGTCATCATCTCAAGTGTCTTCCTGTTATAAACAATAAAACTATGCAGAGAAATTGTGGATTGTTCTTTCAGCAGAAAAAAATAAAAAATGAAAACTATAAAAGTATATTACACGATTTATATAAAACAATGTTGAAACACTAATAAAATATAAAATTATTCGATTTCTGTCTACTTTAACCCTTTATATCTCTGGAATCGTTATATTGATTGTCACATGAAACTTCACCCAATCGTGTTTAAGATATATCAAAGGATTTATTGCATTTTATCAATGGAACATAAAAGTCCTAAATTTTGAAAGATCCAATTCAATATTTGGTCCTTTCAAGTTTTTAATTTATAAGAAAACATCATTATTGTTCTTTGCATAAATATTTATGTTTTAGCTTTTAATGTGTATCAAGAATACAAAGTTTATATAAGCACTAACTGTTTACTAAAAGCAGAGGTGAATCTGAAACTTGTTTAAAGGAGGAAGAATAATTAGGAATATCATAACTATAATCAGTGGCGTATTTACGGGGGGAGGGGTCTAAGGGTACTGGACCCTCCCCAGAACCTCTCCAAAAAATAAACTAAAATTCTTACATATTTGCAAAATTGGCTATGTAAAACATTCACAGGGAAGTTGAAATTACTGTTGATGAAGTAATAGAGGAATCGGCCAAAAAATCGAAACAACTGGAATTTATTTTATAACAATACTTTACAATATATAGGTACATATATGTATAATATTATATAAGACTATACGATTATTACATTATATATTTAGTTCAACTTCCTCCAAAAACTGCACAAGGACGTAACTATTACAATATAATAGATGGTTTAAATTAATTATATATAAACTGTGGACCACCCCAGAAAAAATTGAAAATACGCCACTAACTATAATTATATTATATTATATATTATACTATTATTTACTACATAAAACATGCAACCTATACGATATACATAGTATTCGATAGTGAATATTTATAAATATTTATTGTCGTATATTTGTAAAACTGTGAAGCGCAAGCACTTGTTGGGGGAGGTTCAAGACGAATATTTATATTGTATATTGCACTTTCATATATTTAATTTTAGAGCAACAGTAATTTGCTTATCTTTAAAAAACTTAGTTTTAATGAAAGACGCGATAAGTGTTTATTTTAGAGGTGACTGGATGGAGGAGGTATTACCCCTCAAAGAAAAATTTATACCACTCCGAAAAAGTTTATTTATTTATTAATTATTTACTCCTATGGCATATCGCATACCACATATTTCCCCACCCCAATTCAATTTTTCCGATACCCTCCCGGGATCGAAGGTTTGAAATAAACACGGGAATGGTTTATTTATTTTTATTTTAGGGATGTGTGACTCAAAAAAGTTTAGGAATCGCTAGACTAGAGGTAAAATGTTGGTTTACGTATTTAAAATGTTACATTAATATATTCCAATTTGATTATTATTATTATTATTATTATTATTATAATTATTATTTTTAAATTTCTTCATCTAGACGTGCAACAACTGTTGCAGTTCACTGTTTAGTACTTATAATAATTTGTCATTTTATTTTGAACTGAATACATATTATGTACGGCTTAACAAAATTTAATTTTTGACTTATTTTGTTTCTGACACCAGGTGGTGAGATATGGGAACGAAGGTATTGCGCCTAAAAGTCTATGTAGAAATGACAGCTCACAATACTTTTACGGATGACAGAATGGCGGCAAGGCGACGGTCAGCCGACTGCCTTGCTCATCTCAAACGCCAGCAAATCCTGCCGCATCAAGAATGTATTGCTTCTAACGGACGGGGTTATTGCTTGTCCAGGAATGAGCTTAGCAAAACCAAACTTAAAAGACTTTCGAATTTATTTTAGTCTATAATTACATTTTATTTGACATTCATTTCAATGTACATATAAATATTATTACATGTATCAGTCTAATCGTGTTATGTAATTTTAAGTGTACCTATTATGATTAATTTACCGACAGCTGAACAACCGTATGATTTATTGTTTTTCGGATAACTTGCGGATTTTAACTTAATAATTATTATTGGATTGTACGAGTTTTAATGTTGTGAAAAATACTGTACAAATTATAAGAGAGGTTATTATAATGTTCTTGAACGGACAAATCTTCATTGCCTTGTTAACTATTATCGTTGAGTTATGCACATAAAAATAAATTTAAATGTCGAATAGAATTTCAACCTAGTGTGTTCGAATTAAAAATGAAAATGACCCCGTTAATGTTGGTAGTAAATTATAACAATAATTTAGGCTAACTACGTAAAAATACGTAATAAAAAAAAAATTAAATAAACGTATAGTTAGAAGTTTTAGTTTCGATTGTTAAAAACGAGTTCTATGACATGTAGTTTTCGATTTGTATAGAAGCTCAAACATATACCATAGGTAGGCACAATCTAATATTTCGATAAATATATGTACCACATAGGCCTATTATTTTAATAATATTATTTTTCGTAAACGTTTAGCATATTATGTTAAACGTTTACGAAAAATATTATCCCATACAAATGTTCGTTTTCACGCATGTTTATATTTCTACAAAATATGTTCAATACGCGACACCGACGTGATTATTTATTAATTTATAAAAAAAAAAAAAGTATTTAAAATATAATATAAACTTTGTTCACTGATTAAAGATAATAGATTTTAATTAGGATTTAAATCGACGTATTGAACCACATAATATTATACACCAACGCAGTAGTTGTGTTTAACTAAATAACTATTAAACGCGTATCTAATAAATAAAACGATGGAAAACGTTGTTCGAATAAAGCTAAATAGATAATTAAAACACGTATAATAATAATAATAATAATAATAATAATAATAATAATAATAATAATAATAACAGTGTAAAATTAATCATCATCACGATCGAACACGAACAGGTAGATCGATCAGTTAAAAAATGTATAATCATTCATCGATCGTTTGCGTGCGATTTCGGGTACAGTCTGCGACACGTAGTTCGTTTCGTGTTTTTTTTTTTTTTTACGTATAATCGCAAGACGCAATAGGCCGACAACACTGCAGCAGTAAACGCGCGTCACGTCGAAATCAATATTTACGCCGTCCGTGGATGAGATTTCGGTCCAAAAGAGGTGTTAAACAATCCGAATAAATACAGCAGATCGCGATTTCAGAATGGATTTCATTGCGTGCGCACAGATTTCAAACCGAACCGACGAACGAAGAATTTCTGTTCAAGAAGACTGGCTGGGAAAAACATTTTGTCGTCGCAGACCGTACCCCTTTCGTTTCGAAAACAAAACGCATTTATGACCCCGCAGATAGTGGCTGATACGAATTAAATATCGTATCGAGTCGCGTTGTCGACGAGCGGTGTTGCGCGTGAAAAGTACGGCAACACCTACCGTCATGACTGGCATGATAAGTCGGAACGGAGTCGGTCGGCCGGAGAATATCCACAATGGCAGATCCATGGGGAGGTTAACCCCCGCCCAAAAATCAGGAAAAATATGTATTAAAGATCAATATTTTATGAATTAAGAAAAAGATTTTTTTTTTTTTTAAAGTACGAGGGAAAGTATACAATTTGTATTTTTATTCATAAAAGAAATTAGTAGTCTTAGATCTAGTTTAATGTATTATATTACTTACTATTATCTTAATTCATTATCAATCACTGACTGCAATGTTATGAAAAATGTCCCAAGAGAAAACATTTTTCAAACCTCCCCCAAAAAAAAAAAAAAATCTTGGATCTGCCACTGGTCGCCCGCAACGCTTCGCGATCGTAACGAGCGTCAAAAATTCGTCGTGCGAACGCAACGTGAGAACAGAATAACAGTAACGAATGATCACATTCTGTGAGCCTACGATGCGGACAATCCGAATCGTTTACAGCCCAGAACGATCAGGTTCACGACACCGTAGACAATATGTGACGAACGTACGATCCGTGTTGTTGCTCCTAAGTGTATTCATTTCAAATTCTCCTCACCGACTCCCGAACGGCACATCCGACGCTGTTATAACCTTCTCTCGTTCGATAAACTCGAAAAAATAAATAAATATTATTCCAACGGTAGCAGCGATACTCGTGTGTTCCAGCTTCGACGACGTAATGGAACGACGAGTTGTTATATTATTTACCGTCGTAATACTTTGTTTTAATAATAAACGAACCATATCTTTGTTGATCCCGTTTTGAAAAGCTAACGTTTAGTACTAATACCGTTAGTTTCATATTTTATAGCGCGTTTATAACGAAATTGTATAAGTAACATAATATTTATTTCTTGTTGTATTTCATTATATCGTATAACACTACGCCGTTACGTTTTGTTTTTAACCGTGTTTTTTTTTAACTCTAGCTCATCTCTGATCGTTAAGATATTTATTCAAATATTTATAAATTATTTCATTTGATTTACGTTACTAACACAAGTGTATGATTTTTACTCATTAATAATTTGTTTCTTAATATATTTATATAAATTTTTTTTTTTTTAAGAAAAGTTTAACTGCAACGATCCAATCGCAGTAATGTACATGGTTCTAATTATGTTTTACCTTTTCACTTTTATTTATTTATGATTGAATCTCAATACTGTGTAAATAAACTCGATGTACATACTACGAATAAAACTATTTTTTAAAAAAAAATAATTTTTATCTTCATGTTTTATTGTTTAAACAATATTCCGGGATCGTATCATGGCACAACTAATATTTGGTTAGTTGGTTGCAACCAATTAGTATTTATGATTCATCGTTATGTTATTAACGTTATAAAAAAGTTTACAATAAATACAGTTCCAAATAAGAATAATATGCTCCAGCGCGAACTGATCAATTCAATGACTCACTTATGTGCGATTTCGTGTACATTCCGAAGAGACGGCAGATGACGTAATATGAATTAAAATTCACTTACAAGCACTAAAAACTAATTCAATTATTACCAAAGAAACGATGATATTATATGCCAGTTAAATTTTACTGCTTAATTTTATTACGTAATTCGTACGTAGCAGTTTTCAGTGAAATTATAAACGGTACGTGAAACAGTTTTATTAATGCTACTATTATTATTATTATTATTATAAATACATGGTAAAATGTACAAGCTATTATCATAATGTGCGCAAGTCTTGCAAAATTATGTTCTTAATCGGAAAAAGTATTTTCTCGAACCTTTGACGGAGCGCCGTAAAAATGTAAAACAATTTGTAATTTAACGAAAATGAGAAACATCAAACAAAAAGCTATTAATCTATTTACGCGAGCGTGGCAAAACCAAGAGAAAATATCAAATCGATTGAGAAACTAATAACTATTCAGAACACTTAATAGTTTTGATTACTTTTTCTACGAAACATTACGCATTGCACGTGCATGAAATTATTTCGTGCGTTGGTTGACGATAACAGTATTCACGAACAGATGCAAACGAAGCAACGTATCACTCGTGGATTGTACAAAGCAGTGGCAACACGAACCGAGTTTTATCGAGTCAGCTACTTCGTGACTAAAACGGGACAGTTAGATGGTATTATGTGTTAGAAATGTGTAACATACGATTTGCACATTTGACGTAAAATATTAATATGTATTATTTTGTTTGGACCGGTTAATTATATGTGTACTTACAAATACAGTCAGTGGCGTACATACAATTTTTTTCAGGGGCGGAGGGTTTTAAGATATATCTTAATACTAAATAATAATTTTAGTATATCTTAATACTAGGGTCAATAATAATATACAATAATAGGTATACAGTAATATTACGTTTAAAATGGTATTATTATTATGTCCCGTATTTAATGAAAATTATTTTGTTACTCAATTTTTAAAATGTACCTAATCGTAGTAAAATTAAAATATCATTTTACTATAATATGTAAATGTTAATAAATAATAATTAAATATCATTAAAAAAAAAAAAAAAATCTGGGAGAGTTGGAAACTCTTTACAAACCCTCCTCTCCCGTAACTACACCACTAAGTACAGTGAATTGTTACTCGATTAACTTGTCAAGCGTAACCGCTTCATTGGAAAATTAACTTCGCGCCGTCACCTTGTACGAGTGAACGCTTTGAATAAACCGAGACGCGTTATGTCACCACCGTACGATTGACGGAAAGGAAAATATAACACGCCTTTGGTGTGTCAGGCAATTATTTTTACGATATTATTCTCACTCGTTGTGCGTGTCGGCTGAACACTTGCACGAAGTGTTTTATTCGCAGCGCTCGAGATTTATATAGCTGTATACAATTACGGCGATGGAATCGTTTCGCGATTGGAAAACTGTTTGCGGTTCGTATGCCGGCAAAACGATTTCCGCCGAAATATTCCAATGTAATATTGTAGACGAAACATTCGGTTTGTTTGACTGTTGAATACCACTCGTTATTTTACGAATTGTTATTTGATATAAAACTTCCGGCCGAAGTTTTGTGTTCTCAAGTTTTACAGCCAACGCAAAATATTTCATCGCGACATTCATTCCTTATTTTGTAATAACATTAACGTAAATATGAACGATGTCGGAATGACATGATGAATGACATCGGAATCTATTAGTTTATCTAACTTGCAATATAGGTTTCGGCATCCCTACGTCTCCGCGCTAGTCCGGTTTAAATGTTAACGTGAAACACATATTACGATCGGAAACGAAATCGATTGCTCGTCGTGTTATTCGTACTATTATTTCTTAATGTTTATATAAAAAAAATAAAAAAATTAAACTGTTTCGCATTTCGTGCTAAACAAATTATAACAGACATAACAAAATACAGTTTAATGTATTAGATAAATTCTGATAGAAAAACCGAAGTACAACGAATGGACTGATGTTCTGTTCTTCCGTTTTAAAAATTCACGTAGTTTAATAAACGCGGTTTTTTTCTACGCAAAATATCGATATTCTATTTTATCGTATTGCTTTTCTACTACGCCTTTAAGACGAACCACTTATTGTCTGACGATCAGAGATGGATTTTTGCCTTTTTATTAAAATTATATAGAAGACAATTCCAGAAAGATAATAAGACAATAATACACCTACCGCGATCGATTCGTTTCTTCGCTATGATAATAATTACACTCGAGTACTCGAGGATAATTATTTTACCCAAACAAGGCGAAATGTTCCAAGTACGTCATATTTAATGTCATCGCTATTACTGTAAACAAGCTCTGACCCAACGGATTTCGTACGGTCTTAATAATCACCATAAGTTTTTTTTTTTGACAGTTAAAGTCATAAGTGAAATCATCACTTAAATTGTTAACGAACAAATTGCAAGTTTAATTTTAACAAAGAACGATGACGGTGACGATTCGACTTATCTACAAGCACCAGTGTGTCAGGGGACATCTTCGGAGAACAAAATTTTTTAATCCCACCGTCCGTTTTATAATAATAAAACAAAATAATTTATGTCATCACAGTACTTTCTACACGATACACACCAATATTTTCCGACCTGAGAGGAGGAGTAGTGAACACGTTTCTGGGGAGTGAAAAAAATTGTCACAAAGTATATAAATTATGATAAATAATAAAATATTATGTATATTGTAAAGGTGGTTTATTTTCAAATTTTATATTAAAA